TGTGTCCTAAACCCTTCTATGGGTTTATGAATGTGTCCTAAACCCTTCTATGGGTTTATGAATGTGTCCTAAACCCTTCTATGGGTTTATGAATGTATCCTAAACCCTTCTATGGGTTTATGAATGTGTCCTAAACCCTTGGCTATACCCCAACATGGGTTTATGTGTATTTCCTAAACCCTTTGCTTAATCCCATCCATACTTAGTGACCGTCATAAACCGTTTTTTAGGGTTTATGCAAGGGTTTCTTGATTTCCTAAACCCCTTCATATACCCTTAGTAAGGGTATATTAAAGGGTTTATGATTTTCCTAAACCCTTAAAAGGGTTGTTGAAAGTGTAACGTATAATAAACCCTTAAAGGGTTTAGGAACTTCCTAAACCCTTTCCTAAACCCTTTGAAAGGGTATATGAAAGGGTTTAGGAATTTCCTAAACCCTTTATTAAACCCTTTTTAAGGGTTTAGGAAAATTTTACATACGGTAAAAAGGGTTTATTATACGTTACACTTTCATCAACCCTTTTTGGGTTTAGTATTCTACGGATTTTTTTTACAGTGTACAGAATATCACGACGCATAATTTGAAAAAATTTAAGATTTTGCCATTTACATTTGTGGAGATATATGGAGAATAAATTATGTTGCAAGCACTCCGAGACATCTAGTATTTGCGTTACATTCTCTCGCAAATGAAGATTTCTTCATGTTTTCCATCACTCCTCTCCTATGAATCTTCTGTATAAATCGGTTGAAAGGATCCTCAAATGGCTCAAACTTGCACTATATTCTGTTGCAATCTGTTGATAAGGATGATAATGCCTGTACTTGGATGAAACACAAATGAATGAAGAAGGAGAAAGACGGCATTCTTTGATTAATCTGGCAATTTAATGCAGCTCTTCGATCCCCACATTGAAATTTGTTGTAATCCATTCAAGTTTTTAGGTATTGAAAGATGTAATAACAAGTCGAAATTTTCTCAGGAACAATGTATTTTCTTTTGAATTCTCAGAGTTCTAATGCTTTTACACAACAATTCCACATAAATTGAATAAGGTTTATATCATGCATGTCGTGCAATTCCTAGACTTCTAAAATAGCGATCGTAACATTAGAATCAAAAAGAAGACATCCGAATGCTATTTCTATGTTTGAGAATACTGGATAGGTTTCCGGAGCTTTTTTCGGAAACGCAAGGATTCTCTGAAAATTCGAAAACCCTGAAGGGTTTCCAATAGATGTTCGGAAACCATGCTCAATTTTTCGAAAACGCTTCCACCGTTTTCGATGCTCGGAAATCCAAAAAGGTTTTCGATAAAAAAATATCAGAAACGCAAAGGTTTTCGAGAAGGTTTTTAAATCAGAGAAGGTTTCCGGGGATAACTTTCGGTTTTCAAAAAGAGCACTAGGGTTTCTGAGAATACGATTGAGGGTTTCCGGACCTATATTTCGAAAACTCATAGGTTTCCGGATACTCGGAAACCCTGAAGGTATTTTCAGAAACTTAACATGAGTCCGGAAACCTTCCCGGATACGTTCAAGGGTTTCGGAAACGGTTTCTGAAGGGGTTTCGGTTTCTGAGAAAACGTTTTTTTTTTTTAGAGTGTAGAACCATCCTCAATCAACATGAAAAATTATTTGATACTAATAAACCTTCAATTGCAATTGGTGTGAAACCACACGCAATAAAAACTCTCGATCATCCTCCACCAACATCTAAACCATTTTATACTACTCCAAGTAAACAAGAAGAAATGTACAAGATAACACAAGAATTATTACAT